TGCCCGCCCCGGCTGGCCTCTGATGCGTCGCCTGGAACCTGGGCAGGGTCCCCAGTGCAGACATGGCCCTGGGTGGCCAGGAGAAGGGGCTCCGTGGACTTGAGCTGCTGGGCCTTGTGTCTCCTAGGACAGACTGGTGCTAACGGGGTCGGCAATGGGCTGAGCCTCGCCCAGCCCCGCCCCGCTCCAGGTCCTGCACGGTGTGCGCCACTGTGGGAACAGGACCAGTGTCCCCAACCTGGCATCTCCGGGCGGGGTCTGTGCAGCACAGCCCCTGCTCGGTGCCCGCCGTGCCCGCCTGGCCCTCGCTCCTGGCCCGCAGTGGGTTCCGCTGCTGTAGGGGAAGCAGCGGCAGTGACTGGGGTTAGGAGGAAGCTCCCTGTGTCCAAGGGGAGGGGGCAGGGGCACCGGGGCCTGAGGGGAAGTGGGCAGGGCCGGCCGTGTTGGCACAGATGGGTGACATTGCTGGGTCAGCCTGGCTCCCTCTGAGGACCTGCCGAGTGTTTGATAGTGGATGGTCCTCTGCGATCTGGCAGGGAGCTGCCCCTCCCCTGACCAACAGCACCCCAGGTAGCAGAGTGGCCAAGGGGCGTCTGGGCTCCCACCCACTGCCTCAGTTTACCCCTGAGTTGTGTGCCCGTGTTCAGCTGCACTGTCTCTGCCACATGAGGGACAGCGTTTGCGCACAGTGTGAATAAAAGACGTTGGTTAAGCCCAGCAGCTGCCTCTGCCTTGGGGGAGTGTGGGGGGCGGGGTGCCCCGGGGCTGGGTGTTGTGTGGGCAGGTGCCTCCTTAAGGGCGTGTCCGTCTTCGGGCCGCAGTCTCGATGTGCAGCCTTGCCCAGGACAGACAGCACGGCTGACAGTCCTGGGCGTGGCTGGCTGGTCATCAGAGCCACACAGGGCCACCAGACTAGCTTCCTCACTGCCCATCGCCAGTGGTGACATGCTTGTCAGGCTCTGGCGGTGGCTGTGACCATGACAGGTGCAGCCCTGCAGGTGGGGAGGGCCTGGGGAGGGCCATAGAGGGGACTGTGGAGAGTCAAGATGTGGGCAGGTTTGGAGCAGCTTTTATTTCTCTTAAGACAGAAGAAACATCTCAGTGCACTGACGGAAGTGACCCAGTGAGAAGTGGCCGGGGCGAGCATGGGGATGGCTGTGCCACTGAGCGGGCCAGAGGGGGCAGGGCCAGGGCGCAAGCAGGGGCCCTCAAGGCAGCAGGGATGACCTCAGGGAGGAGGCGGATCTGTGGGTGCAGACACTGGGGGGTCCCCTTCAGGCTGCTGGCATTTTCCCCGGGAAGCAGGGAACCGCGGAATGGGGACTGAGGAGGGAGGGCAAGGAGGGACTTGGCAGCGGGACCTGCAGGGTCCACCTGAGTTGTGGTCAAGGTGGACAGAGACGGGTCAGTGCAGCTGGGCTCCCCCAGCCCAGACGGGCCGGGGACTGACCCTGGTGCGGGAGGGTGTCAGGGGAGGGCAGGACAGGGGCGTGGCGGGCCGCAGCTGTTGGCAGCGAGGTCTAGGTGGGACGGTGGGAGAGTGGCTAAACCTGGGGGACATAGTTGGAGGTGACCAGCTGCAGGGCTGTGAAGCAGAACCCCTGCGACAGGATGGGAGCAGGGTGCGGGGGCGATAGTGATCCTGAGCAAATACTGTCGGAGGGGAGGGAGGGTCCAACTGTGTGAGCGTCCACAGGGGAATTCGGGAGGGAGTTTGGGAAACCAATCCGCTGTTCGGGGGTGGGGTGGGGAGCAGCCAGGGGAAGGATCTGCGGGGAAGAGGTTGGCGACTTGGACAAGACAGTGAATTTGGGCTGGAGGTGGGAGGGAGGCCTCCCAGAGCCCGTCCGGGTGTGACGGGGGTGGTACCAGGGGCCCTTTTGTCCCTGGACTTGGGAGGAACTGCAGGAGGTTTGGCCTTAGCCCAGGGCTCAGCTTCACTCTTGACTCCTGCCACCCTGTGTTGGAGCCCCCTCCTCACTCGGGCTAGGGCTCTGGACCCCAGAGAGTTTGGCAGATCAGCCCCCAGCAGAAGCAGCCAGCCACTGGGACAGGCCTGCCCGACCCCTGCTCTCCATGCCACGGTCGTGGGGCACAGGCAGGGCCCATAAAGACAATGTGTCCTTCTGCCCTGGAACCAGGAAGGCCTGGGCATGGGCTGAAAGCACTGTCAGGCTACATGGACAAGGGGCTAGAGGGGTCCCCAAGCACCTGGCCCTACAGAGAAGGGGCAGCAGGTCCCGGGGAGCAAGGCCCTGCTGCTGGAGAGGGCTCAGTGGAGCAGTGGCTTCTCAGCCCTGGGAGCAGGATTGTGGGACAAGGTGGTGGTGGCAGAGGGCACTGGCTACATGGACAGACAGGAA